TAGCTGCTTTTTGCGGGCAACAAGCCTACTTACTACCCTTCGCTGGCGCAACTATTTACAAGTGAATATTTATATATTCCGTCGTTTTCTCTTCTTTTGTCTGTCAGATGAGCATGCACAGTGAGGTCGTACCTCCATAAATTCACGTGTGTTGAATAAAGACAACCATCGTCCTGAAGTATTCATGGCTACGAATGGACGGCTATTTAAAAGAAGACTGCAATAATTACAGAGGTATTTTAAATTTGGAAGGTATTGATATTACCACATGATTTGTTCGTATGTCTTGTGGTTTTGATTAAATGTTAACTGTAAATGTACGATAATTCAGGAAACCATTTACTAAGGGTAATATAAGAATAAGTGGCATTAGGGAGATTGCCAAACATTTATACGACTATTAACTGCAATTTAAATGTTACCCAAAATGTAAATTGACAAGATTTTAATTTCAGCCAGCTATCTATGTAAAATATTAATGTCGTATAACGTGCCCGCGACCTCTCCACTGCTCAGTCCCGCGACAAGAAAATGAAGTAGACGGCAAACAGTATACATGATTAAAATTCGATGCACCACAGCTAATTTTCTGGGTAAAGTTTGTTCGACCTGAATACTTATATGTGTAGTGATTTCACAGTTTGTTTAAGATACATGGAGTTTTCAAGTATACCACGCCTTGAGACCAATCACCTAGCTCACATATGACAAAGACTTGTTGTCGTTTCTCTATTTTTAACCAACCTTTAAGGCTATTTTTCCTACGATACAAAAACCCCTGTTTTGATGGTTGAGCGTAGCTGCGATTCAGCGCACATCTGGGGGGTGTAAAGCAACAAGGTACCTTTACAAGGACACCTTCACTACTATAGGTGAACGCACACAGGCCTATCATTCATTATCCAAACGTTCTGCTTTTTCTTTTCTAAACAACTGAAGTGTCTGCCAGCAAACACCCGGTAAATATTGGTTGACCCAGGGGTAAGCTGAACGCCTGACACTAGCGTTGTGTGCCAGAGAGGGAGTATTGGCAGAGCGATAATAGTTGAGAAGAAGAAGAATTTTCGAACACTGAAATAACCATTGTATTAGCCTGAGCTTTTGGGCCCCTGCAGGAGCCCGTCCTCAGAGTAGAGAAAAAGCAGCAACAAATGTGGC